TTATCACTTTTGCTTTCCCCCCAACATTCTGGCAACCAAAGATATTTTCTTATTGTCTCCATAGTTTTACTTTACCCAGAATGTCATGTAGTTGAAATTGTGCAGTATGTAAACTTTTTACAGTGGATTCTTTCACTTAGCAATATCTATGTAATGTTCTTCCATGTGTCTTTGTGGCTTGATGGCTCATATCTTTTTACTGCTGAATAATATTCAAATGAATAAATGTGTTACAGTTTGTTTATCCATTCACCTATCTGTTGCTTACAGTTTGGGGAAGTTATGAATAAAGCTGACATAAACATGCGTCGTGAAGGTTTGTGTGGACATAAGTGTGTAACTCATTTGCTGGAAATTACTAGAAACATCTAGGGATGTGACTGGTATGTCTATATGGTAGGCTAAGTTAAGATTTGTTAAGAAACCACCAGACTATACAGCAAAATAGCTATTGGATTCCCATCAGCAACAAATGACTCCACATCCATGTCAGCATTTGGTGTTATCAGATTTTTGTATTTTTTGTCATTCTGGGGACACCACGGCATCTCATTGCTTTAATTTGTAACTCATGATATATGAATTTGAACATCTTTTCATATACTTGTTTACCTCTATTATATTCACAGGTAAGACGTCTATTCACACGTTTTGCTTGTTTTTTAACTGGATTGCTTTCTTACTGTTACTTATGCACCTCAATTATATAAGCTTATATTCTTAATAACTTGTTTTTGTAAAGATAATTTTCCTAGGTACAGAACATTTAAAATATTGTACTTTAAAGCTCCTTATTTGAATGAAATTATAGAAACATTTAAATAAATAAATAATTTTTGAATGGAGGATATCACAATTTCCTCGATATTTTAGATACATATTGTTTATATTTTAAAGATAAATGGGAATTTTTGCCCAGCTTTGTACATAAATTTTGCTAAAACAGCTCAAGCACAATCTTTACAGACTATCCAGATAGACTTATTTTTTGACAGGACAAATTAAACTGCCCATTTAAAGGATCTGCAGTTTTGTATATCAAAAATTTTGTCTATTAGCAGGTATGCTCAGTATTTTAACACAGAGACATGGAACTTAAACTGTTCAAACAGAAATACCTTACATTTTAATAATATCATAAAATTGGGCCCTGAAATCACTTGTAAAATGTTCTGAGTAATTGAAACAGGTCTTACATAATTTAAAATGCTTCTGAATGAGGCAGCAGAGACTACTTAGAAAGATAATTCAACAGTGTATGGGAGCTCAGGGATTATGGAGCAATCCTGATTGGAATTGACTTGTACTAAAATCTGTATAGAATTAAACATAGGAGAACAGCAATTTTTTTTTGAAATTGAAAGGAAACTTATGTCATAAAAATAAAAATAAGCATAGCATGAATATAAGAGAGTTGAAAGAAGACACATTTAAGTACTGATTCCAAACCCTATTAAATGATTTGTATATTAAATATATGTCAGGGGAAAATATTTATCCAATTTTATGTTTTATTTTAGGTTGTTATACCCAGTGTATTCAGGGTCAATCTAAAGTGATATTATATTTTACAGTAGGAAAAAAAGTGCATGATATGTTTTAAAGAGATTTTTCTTTTGAAACTAGTTTATAAACCCGAATTTTTCAGTTCAAAGAAATATAATAATATAAATCAACATGTTTAAGATACAGTTTTTGTTCTTTTTCAAATTTTGAATAAAGGTTCAAGATATTTATGAGTATTTTTTATTTGAAATCAAGGTGTAAGAGTTTATGTGTTTGTGTGTTTGGTAAGCCATAATCTTTCAAGTGAGAAAAAGAAATATTAACAAATTTCAGGTCCTTTGAAATCTAACAATTTAGGATTTATTTTTTGCTTGTATGTTCCTTTTTTATGGATGTGTTCCCTATATGAAAGCCATTTTGTAAATGTATTAATTTGCATTTTTAAGTAAATATATCACATCAATACTATAGAAATTTTATTTTTTGACAGGGCAATTCCACTTCTAGTAATCTTTCACAGGTGTAAAAGAATGTTTGCTTACAGTTTATGAAAGCTGAGTAAGTATGAATGTCTCTTGATAGTGAAATGATTAAATATATTGTGACACTTCTGTATTTTAGAATATTATTTACCTGTTTAAATGTCTTAGACCTATAGTTACTGATCTGGAGAGAAGTAACTTAGACTAAAAAGGGTAACATAAGAAGTACATACAGTAGAATTCTCTTTTATAATAAAAGATTGCATAAAATACATTCACATTTATATATTTTTTAATTGTATAAAGATAACACTAGAAATGAATACTTAGAAACTAAGATCATGTCAGGTTTTATTTCTGGGTATTGGATGTTTACTTTGTAAATACTTAAATCCGTTTTGTTTAAATTTCTCCTCCTATAGTTAATTATCAGAAGGCCAAAATGTATGCATTTCAAAGAATCACATAGGGATCCTTTTTAAGTCTAGCCCAAGAATCATCTATTTTTTTGCTGTAACACAGCAATCAGATAATCACTGCTTTGAAAGACCAAATTCCTTATGGGGATAGATTTAAGATAAATATGGCTAAAGTCTTACATATTTGTACCAATGGTCCCATTTGTCTCTTCTGAGTTGCAGGCCACTTACTTTCTTTCAAATATACTTCTTTGAAATATCTAAAGAGAGCAGAAATCCCCCATCTCTTTCCTGTTCATTCACATGCTGCCGGCCCCCTCTCAGTCCTCCTCACCCAAAGCACACACACTGCCTACCCGTTTGCGGGTAGAACATCTGCAGTTTCTGTATTCATTTATCTTTAAATGTGGTTTGAGTCCTACTCTAGGCTAGTTACTCCACTATCCAGCTTTCAAATCTTTCTTAATGTGTCTCAGTGAAAACCGAGAACCCCCTTCCAGATACGGTCTGTCTAGATCAGCCAGAGCTATCGTCATGATTTCTCTCCAGCTATTCTTACTGTTACCAAGGGAACTGTAACCATAAAATTGCTAGATTATCATAATTTTACATCAGCTAACACTTCTGTGTTTGCTCTAAATGATGCTCATAAGCTATGCCTTTTCCTGTCCTGCATTATAAAGCTCAGTTTAAACATTAATTTGGAGCTTTACTGTTGTTCCTACCAAATATGGACTTGGTAGATGGAATGTAGTCTTGTTGAACCCTTAGGAATTCTGATTTGGAATCATCCTCACATTCTCATTGTCATGGGAAATTTTATTAACAGTTTATTGTGTTTCATCTTTAATCAAGTAATTTACAAAAATATTAAAAAACACAGGTCCTAAAATATAGCCCAGGTTTTTTTTAATAATCCACATGAACTCAATTAGCTATAGTTGATTTATATTTTAGGTAGGCTCTTTTGTTTCCAAGAAACAAACTTCAGTCCTAATAAATGATATGTGTGTGATTTTATTTAAAACATGTGTGGAATGGTATACAGGGCTAAGCTCTAGTAGCCACTAGCCACAAGTAAATATTAAGTACTTCAAATACGACTAGTCTGAGTTGAGGTATGCTATAATACACATTAGTTTGGGGGAGAAAAGGAATATAAAACATCTCAATCAATAAGTTTTATGTTGCTTACATATTGGTATGATAATGTTTTGGAAAAATACATCACATAAAATATATGAAAATAAATTCTACTTGTTCCATTTACTTTATTTAATGTGGCTCTTAGAAAAATTAAATTATTTATGTGACCTGTATTGTATTTCAGTTCAAAACTTCCTTTAGGGGATAACATTTTCAAAGTCCATAGACGGTACATACAAGTCACAAGCCCTGGAAGATTTAAGGCCATTCTAAGCCAATAAGTAACTGCAGCAGTTAATAAATCTTTCCACTAATGTTCCACTATTAATATGACTGCTTACTGCTATCTGTATGCTTCTTTTTGTCATGCTTATGCTATAAACTGTCTCCTTCATCTTCAAAGTTTTCCTTTCTCTTTTGGTTTCTATATTCACCTAGCATTCTTTTATTATATTTTCATGCATAAAGAAAATCATAATCTTTATTTATACCTTAACATATAAACCCATTGCCAGTTCTGAAATACTTAAAAATTTTCCATTCATGTATCCAGAAATGAAACTTGAAACTGACTGATACAGTAATATTTTCTAACCAGGGGCACATCAAAAGTTTCTGACCACTCAATAAATTACGAGTTCATGAGAAATGTGGTAACCTCATCATTTGAATTAACTAAGGCTAGTGATATTTCAATCATATTTTTACAAAGAACTTCCAAAATTTAGATATAGTACACTTATATACACTGTTTCATCCCAATATGCCACTATATTAAATCTCAAATCTTTATACATGCATACATACACACTGCTGATATGCATGATTTAATCAACAAAACGATTAAATCAGAACACTGTGGTTTAAAAATGTGCTCTATCCTAATTTCTGTGAATCAGGAATGCAGGTGTGACTTAGTTTGGTGCCTCTGAATCAGAGAGTTTCATGAGACTCTAGTCAAGCTTTTAGCCAGAGCTACAGCCTCATCTGAAATCTTAACAGGGGACATTAACTGAGTTCAAGTCTAAAGCTCAACTGAGGTTAATTCTGAAATCATCTACAAAATTATTGGTAGAATTCAGTTCAGGACGTGGTACTAAGGGCCTCAGTTCATCACTACTGGCCAGTGGGCTCTCTCTATTCCACACAACACAGGGCTTTCCATAGAGCAGCTTATATATAGCATGACAGACGTTTTCCCTAGAAGAAGAGAAAGCTTGCAAGTTAAGCCACACTCTTTTGATAACCTAGTATTGTAAGTGATATTTCATTACTTCTACTGTATTCTAAATCAATGGAAACTCCAGTCTGTTTTTTTTTTTTTATTAAGCCATTCCTCTGCTTAAAAAAATACAATGAGTTTTCATCATATTTAAATGAGAATGATTCTTTAAACTGGTTAAAGTCCTAAGGTCACCTAACCCCTACATGGGCACATCAACCTTCTTTTGGTCATCTGAGAAAGCCAGTTTTCTTTTTTTTTTTTTTTTCTTGTTCTTGTTTTCTGATATTTCCAATTGTTCTTCTCTTTTCCTAAGACAATCTGTACCTCTGTCTTTGGATATCTGGATCCTTCCTGTCCCCCAAACAATAGATAAAATATTAGCTTCTCAGAGAGTCTGTCCTCTTTGCCTCATCTAGGATAGCTAACAAGCCACTATGTATTGTATCATTATTTTAATTCTCCATAGAGTGCTCACTACCACAGGATGTTTTTCTTCTCTACTTTATACTTGATTATTTGATGATCTATCTAATGGCCTACAAAGGGGCTTCAAAGGATGGCAGGAATGATCTGTTTAATGAGATCTAGACTCCCAAACCTAGAAATTCGATTATTACATAAAAGTCACTTAATTTTCAATAAAACTTGAGAAACATTCACATAATATTGAGTAAGAAGCATTCTGTGAACCAAAGGAAAATATGTGAACCTAAAGAGAGGGAAAATGACACATTAACAGGGAAAAGGACAAAAAATGGCTTTTTTTTTCTGTAATCAATGAAAATGATTTCTTTGGTTCATGGTTTCCTTCCATTTCTTTTCAATTTCTGCTCCTGATTGATCTTCCAGGAACAACAGCAGCAGGCAGAGGCTGCAGGGGTCTTCAGCAACATCAGCCCGCTGGTTTCCTCCTCGATAGCATCAGTGCTATTCTAACCCAACAAGTTTGAGTGAGAGTGGCTGAGTGTCCAGAATCTGAGGGACACATGCAAGTCATGTGTTTGAGCCAAGGCACGTAAGGAGCTCTTCCTGCCTTCTACTCTTTCATAATCCCCTTTCTCCTTTGGCTCCACCAACAAACCGTTTCTTCCAACACTTATGTAGCCAATTTCCCATAACAAATAAAGCTGAAATCTTTAAACAATGGGGATTTTTAATGGAAATTTAGAACAATTGTGCTAAAAACAATGACCACTGATATAATGGAAGAAAATACTACTGAACTGAAGAAAAGTCAGTGAATGAAGCTTGAAAAGGCTTGCTATGTGCCATATTAAAGGTGAGGATATGTGATTGCAGGAGTTCCATCCAGAAAACCTGGGCTGGCTGATAGATAATCTACATTTTCTTTTCTTGTTTTTTAAGATTTTATTTTTTTAAGTAATCTTTATACCCAGTGTGGGGCTCAAACTTACAACCCCGCAATCAGGACTCACAGACTCTACAGACTGAGCCAGCCAAGCGCCCCTACATTTTGTCTTCAGCACACCAATTTATTCATCCCCAAATACTCCTTGATCTATTATTATTTGTAAATAAATAAACATAAATATTTCAGCAATGACAAAAATAACATATTTATTGCTCTTACGGGTCTTAAATTTAATGAAGAAAATTAACTATTTATAGACACAAATCAGAAAGACTGAGTGCCTTTTTTTTCTACTCTCATAACAAAAAAAAATCCCAGAAGTATTAGTTTAAGAATTTGAAGATGATTAAAAGATTAAGAGGTCAAGTAAGAGTCTTAATAATGATATACTAACATTTTTGTCATTCACTGGGAAACATCTTTCAGGTTAACAACTTAAATCCTCCTGGATTTACTTTGCATTTAAATATAAACACACACACACACACACACACACACACACACACACAAATAGTTAAGCAAGGAGTACTGTTTGACAAATAAGAAATGAAATTAAAATTTGTTTCTTGTAATCCAAAAGTATTCATATTAACAAGTTGATTACTTGCATTAATACAGTAGCTACTGAAAGAGGATGTTGATGAGCAATAATTTGTTAACAACACAGGAGATTAGAGGCACGTTGTACTCAGGATTAAAAAGTGCCAAGTGCCTTATAATAGCAATATATGTAACTGACTTCCTAGTAAACATATTCAGAACTTGAGGAATTTGAGAGTTGAATTAATTGCCACTCCATGCCAGGCATAGTTCCAAGGATTTTTTTCATACATACTAACTTATAAATAGGATCAGCAACAAAATATGTGGAATTCACTGTCAAACGGAAACGCAAGTCTCTTTGTTTAAACATGTTAAGAAATAAGAGAGCGACAAGAGGGCTGAAAGAGACCCTTCTGAAGAGATACTCGGATCTGTCCCTGATCACATAGCCACTAAGTGGAAGAGGTGAGATTCCAACGCAAGTAATTTCTGACTGGAACTTGTGCTTACCTTTGTTAGGCTATAATGCTTCTTCATCCCACCATATGATAGAAGATCTAAGTAAAAAGGAGGTAATTTTTTCTGATACATAATTATCAGAAAATTTCTTGACCTAGAACAAACATCTAAGTCATTCCCATTCTATAAACATATATTTAATATAAGATTACAAATTAATGCCATCAGTTTCAACCAATTCATAAAATAGTTTTACATATTCTCTTCCAAACCACAGTGCTTCAGGTTAATATATTCTTTTTTTTAAATTTTTTTTAACGTTCATTTATTTTTGAGACAGAGAGAGACAGAGCATGAATGGGGGAGGGGCAGAGAGAGAGGGAGACACAGAATCGTAAACAGGCTCCAGGCTCTGAGCCATCAGCCCAGAGCCCCACACGGGTCTGGAACTCACGGACAGTGAGATCGTGACCTGAGTTGAAGTCCGACGCTTTAACCGACTGAGCCACCCAGGCGCCCCAGGTTAATATATTCTACCTCAAGTTAAGTAAATAGCTTTTTCCCTTTAAGTCTAGGTGAGAAGTAATAGTTAAGCTCACAGTGCATTTTCAGTGGAAATAGTAGAATCCATTACCCTAAACAATTTATATTAAACGAGTCACTCAATGAAAGCTAATAATTTCACAGTAGAAAACATACACGTGCTTTTTCTACTAATAATATATCCTGATATCATTATGTAATATATTAAGTAAGCACTTTTGTTTTTATGAAAGATTAATTTCCTTTCTTTTATCACTTAAATGTTTTGGAATGCATTTATCACATATATGTAAAAAAAAATCTCAGTTTTAATTAGATCAGCATAGTATGATTATATTAATTACTGAGCATAATAAAATTTTGTGTATAGGAAATATTCTAGTTCCAATAAATTTCATTTTGTACCTGATTGATAAATAATGATAATTTGTTATTGTTTATTATATGAACTTCCCATTTCAGAAGTTATTATAATTACTACCAACTTACTGGAATTGATTTTTTTAATTAAAAAAAAAGTAGTTTTGTCACTTTTCTTTAAGAACAATGCAAGAAAGAAAAGAGACAGTGACAGGTAGACATATAGATACAGAGATGAGAGAAAGAGGTGATGTGAAATGTGCCTATTTTTTTCAAAGATATATTACCTAACTAGATTGGCCATAAGAAAGAGGAGTACTATGGATTCTTTTTATTTTTAAGGGAGGAAAACTTAACAGATCTAATGGTTAAAGTTAAAGCTACTAAGAATCAAGTATTCTTGAAGGTTCTTTAACTATGCTATTTTGTACATTACCTCGAAAAAAGTCTAGTCAGTCATGTGTTTCACTGAGTAACATAGTCAATCCAGTCAAATGTGTATAAATGTACATCACTGACAATAGGGTCTGAAGCAGAATTTTATCACAAAGTGATTTTTCACAAACTGTAACACACTAACACGTTGCCTTTCTGGTTTAACCTGAGATTTAATTTTACTTTTTATTTATTTAAAACAAACTAACGTTTGTTCATTTTTGAGAGACGGAGCCCAAGTGGGGGAGGGGCAGAGAGAGAGGGAGACCCAGAATCTGAAGCAGGTTTCAGGTTCTGAGCTGTCAGCACAGAGCCCCAAGCGGGGCTCAGACCCAGGAACCTGAGATCATGCCCTGAGCGGATGTCAGCCACTTTACCGACTGAACCTCCCAGGTGCCCCAGCCTGAGATTTATTTTTAAAGATAACAGGCAGTAGCATTATTAGTCTAATATTTATATGATCTAATGGGGGGGGGCTATTTGTTGATTTTATTGACAAATTGTTAATTTCTTCAAATCCCTTTAATCCATTAATTGCATCTCTTCAATTTCACTGCATTGTTTAGTATTTACAGGTTATATTATTAGCCTTTTTTTTTTCAGGAAGTAACTCTAATTATATTTTACTGTAAAACCAGAATGATTAAAGAACACAAAAATTTACTTTTAATAACTTCTTAAAACTTTCTTTAATCCTCTATAAATGATTTGTTAATATTCCTTTAAAACTCAACAGTTTAACATATGAGCAGTGTGAGATATTTTATTCCAAATAAAGATTGTAGTTTTAAGGTGTTAGATTATTTTAATAACTTCCTGAAAAAAGTAAATAAATTAACAGAATCTATATACTTCAAATATATTTTAAATAAAAAATACTAAAACAACACCACTGGTTAGTTTCAGAAATTTCTTGTATGTAAAAAATAGCCCTGGTATTGTGAATCTCAATGGGTTTTCAGAATCTTTTGTAGCTATACTAAATTCTTACTCAGACACTGCATTTCTCCAACTATCTTAAATAGGCATTTTTAAAAAAATTTCAATAGAGGTTAGGGCTAACTCTTGGAACTCCATTACATTTTATTAAGTTATATTTGGAGAAACTCAAAATTATTCTTTGAGTTAAATTTTGTACATTATTATTGTTCTCAATTCTTTGTCTCAAACATCATTTTTACATGAAACACAATTATCATTAGCATCCATTGAGTTATAGCAATATATCGTTCCCCAGTATCCCTGGCATATATCTTTAATGTTCATCAGGATTAACTCTCTGAACAAGGATTACAGAATTATTTTTTTGAGACCTTGAGCTGACTTTCTCTCTTGGCTTTTAGTAAACAGTAATTCACTCAAAATTCCCTAACTAATAAAATATCATTTTACAGGGGAGGGTGAGTGCAAGTCTTCTAGGAATTACCAGTATCTATGCCACTGATGTTGAATATTTCTATCCTCTTCAATGACATCTTATACCCTGCCTCCCACCACAGCAGTTCGCAACAAACTGGTTATACAGTTATATAACAGCCAGATACTAAATCAAAGACACTGAAGAATATTTTGAAACCACATTTTCATGAGACTTTTCAAACTCTATTATGATTTACAGAATGATACTTTGGAATCAGAA